CGACAATCTGACGAAAACGGGCAACTCCCAGTAGCAGACCAGTCTCTGGAATAACAGCGCGTACATCGACAGCAACTGGCCTCAACTACAGTGTGTTTTCTGACATAAACTGTTGCGGGCTCGCAATACACGCAATACACACACGTTGTCGGAGCGGCGCATGGAGCGCGCACATTGGGTCATGTCTCAAAAACTGAGGACAACTAGTTGCCGAAAAGTAGAACACGGGCAACTGACTGGAACTGGAGACCGACTGATCATCTCCAGTTGTAAGAGCGCTCACATCGACCGATTTCGGCAACTGATCATCTCCCACCATCTCCTCTCAGTTGCCAAAAGCTGCCTTGCAACTAGTTGTCCCCAGTTTCTCTGTCGATGTACGCTAGGCTTGAGACATAGCAGTTGGATTTTAGAGGGCGGGGAATGACGTCTCCCTTCAACCACTCACATCGAAGCACACGACTCCCATGGGTTGCCAAATGCCGGCAGGATTTCCCAGCCCAAAACCCACGAGAATGCCCCGTAATGTAATCATCTTGGGCTATCATGATTCTGTTTATTGCCTTTTTGTTTATTTATTACCTACAAGGACAGGAACACTTAAACTAGTACTTAAACCAAACTTTACACAAACCATCAACGTCTCGCCTTATATTGCATTAAAAGTGACATTCGTGTCCTAATTTGTTTGTATTTAAACTTTTTTTTAAACTTTATGTCCGCCATCTTGGATTGCTTTCGCTGCTGCTTAAGACACACTTGAGAAGGCGGTGCGAACCCGACTGATTGGTCGATTATTATCTGATCTGCTGGAGGAGTTTGATACCAGATCACTCAGATCACCGGATACCAGACCCTTGTGTGAAGCGAAACGCCTCTGGTGGAGCATGGCGGAACTACAAGGGTTTGGCACGAGCCGGGCTAACCTGCACCAGCATTGTGGAGAAAAGGGTACAGTGTAACTTTAAAGTCTCAAAACTGTCCAACGTATCCGGAAAGAAATAAAGGCTTTGTCCAAAAATAACCGTGCATCTGTCTCACAAAACCTCGACACTGCTTTTTATGTAAATGTGCTCATTATTGTGGAGGAGACATCACTTCAGCTGTACCTGTCACAGCAGCGCAGCCGAGGGAGGGGATCTAACGCCGCACTCTTTTTTGAAATGGTAAAATAAAGCAAGATAAAAAGCGGTGTGCAATCGTGGTAGGAATAAGTTGTAGTCCGTTATGCAGATTATGATTCAGTCAGACTAAAATTAGATTTGAATTGAGTCAAAAAATGACAGTAGAAGACAAAATACAGTTGGCTTTGCCTTGTGGAAAGATTCTTTGTCAGCCATTTCTTTGCATAATTCATAAACGTAGACTCCCCTCTCAGCACTGTCTGTACTAAGGTAAATTATATGGTTTGCTCAATGCTGCACATACAGACTTTTGCATTGGCTTGTAACGAAGCAGCAACTTCGTCATCACTTAAATACAGCATTGACACCATATCCATTGAAACTTGTATTGTTGTTGAAAAGGACATTACCTGTATCATGATACTATTGATAATACATTTTAATATATTTCTTAGGTGCCTTTCTAGACACTCAAGGTTGCCTTAAAAACAGCATGAATAGAGGAGACAGATACATTTTGAGCGTGGATTACGTAGACATATTTTTCATCATTGTTGCTGTATTGCTGCTTGAAAAATGTCCATATATTTGTGCTAAAATGTACAAAACGCAGATTGCATTTGGGGTCTGATTGAGTGTGTGGATTAAGTTATTGACCCCAAGGCATGAGAAGTATGAAGGAGCAAGACCCTGCATCTCTATGAACTATGCAAAAGTCTTACGGGCATTTCCAGACTCTGAGTGCGGGCTAATGGCTCTGGGGGATAAGAAGAGGGGATGGATGGAGAGGCCAGAGAGTTCAGTGGGTCTGCTGCAGCGCTGAGAATTAAACCAAGCATTGTTTTTATATGCATTACTTCAAAAGATGGATCTATCAGTCTTTAATTTGGGAAGAATACATATGATTTGAAACTGATTATGAAGTTCTAAGAAAATACACTAAAAGAGAAGATGTTTTCAACTGTTCGGGACACAATTCACTTTTGATAATTGTAGGCGGTCCTGACATGTATGTGTGGGTGTGTGTTTTTATGTATGTGTGTATGTATGAATTTTTTTTGTTTTTTTGGTTTTGCCAAATTAGATGTATGCACATGTATGCTTTGTAATAACTATTTTTTATTATTTTTTATTATTTTTTTAATTATTATTATTATTACTTTTTTTTATTTTCATGTGTTTGTCTGTTCTGTTTGGGGTTGTTATCTTGTGTTTTTGTTTTATGCGGTGTTGTTTTTGTACTCTTGTTGAACGTCGATGTGTTTGTCAGTTTTGTTATCTTTTAATTTTAAAAAAAGCATATTTTCCTTTCATATTTGGCAAAGAAAATGTGCTGCGATGATTGGCCATAATCGGAATCAACCGTCGAATTGATCTTGTTTGAGTTGGCCTTATGGGGAATTGGGGTTTATCTGTGTTACTTACAGTTGGACATCTGTAAGAATGATGAAGAGATTCTTTTTACTATATTTGTCCCACAGTGGGGAAATTTCAGTGTTGCATTTCCAGTTACAGAACAGTAGGAATGAGGAGCACGCAGCACAGGATAAGATAAATGAGCTCTATTCTACATTCTATACTAAATAAAATAACATAAAATGGCTTTAGCATAATAAGAAAGCAGCCTATAATCTATATTAAAAAGCATGCAATTACGTACAAAAATCTGACTTTAGCATCAATATAGCTGTGTGATTGTAAAGCGCTCATCCAGAGAGATCATATGCTGCATTATAATCTTGGGTCTTTGACAAAGCCAGAGTCCAAAACACTGTGGGTTTGTACAAAATTGGATAAAATAATAACTTGTTGGGTGACATGGAGATGGATAGATAATTCAGTGTAACCTATTTTTGAGTCAGAAAATGGCACACACACAATTACTGGGAGTGTAGAAGTTAATTTAAATGTTTCTGAACTGAATTCTACCTCATATGGGCTGGTTTTAGGCTCTTATACCATCAAGCTTCATCTCAACCAATTGGTAAAGGGTTGAACATTAAAACGAATTATTTGTGTTATTAGTGCTCCTCCATTGCTTTATTCAAGGAGTGAACATACAAAGGGGTTTATACAAAGTCGTAACAGTTGTAATTATTTTCTGAGAACTGATTGTATGAAAGAAAAATGACAGCGATTTATTCATTTTATACGATTGCAAAAAAAAATCTTGGGAATGATGGCTTTTTAGCAGATACATGGCATAGAAAATAATAAAAATGTTATATAATTGCATGTATCCACTCACAAAGCTACAGACATTAGATCAAATGTGAACTGTTTATTATGATGTGTGGTTGTGTGAAGGGGGCGGTGAGCTCTGACCTCCTGAGAGTCCAGAGCGGTGGCAGTCAGTCTGTCCAGTGTTGTGCTCATTGTCAGATATTGTGCTCATGACACACACACACACACACACACACACACACACACACACACACACACACACACACACACACACACACACACACACACACAAAACTCAGTGTGATTCATCTGTTACACGTCACACAGGGCCATACCGGGAAACGGGAAATACATTTCAGATTTATATCACGAGGCTGTTTGGACATGACATTATGAGCCTCTAGTGCCCTGTCTGTCACTGCTGTTCTCTCACATTTCCGCTTCAGACTCACACACACACAAATATTTTCTTCATGTTTCAGCTTCAGGTTGCTTTATACTACATGATCCTCATGTGACAGTATAAGTATTTTATTGTATTTATTTATTTGGATCCCCATTAGCTTCCACAATTGGTCGCTCATCTTCCTGTGGTCCACTTCACACAACATTTCAAAACATACAATAAAAAAAGTGACAATACAAAATAACTCGTAACCAAATAAACATTTCACAAAATCCTTCAACATTCATTCAAGCATTGTTGTTTCATTATTTGCTTAAAAAATATATATATATATTACAGTGCCTTGCGAAAGTATTCGGCCCCCTTGAACCGTTCAACATTTCGCCACATTTCAGGCTTCAAACATAAAGATATAAAATTTTAATTTTTTGTCATGAATCAACAACAAGTGGGACACAATCGTGAAGGTTCTCTCTGCGCTTTAAACAGAACCCTGAGACTATCAAAGAGCAGGTGCATTTATACGGAGACTTGATTACACACAGTTCTATTTATCATCATCAGTCATTTAGGACAACATTGGATCATTCAAAGATCCTCACTGAACTTCTGGAGTGAGTTTGCTGCACTGAAAGGAAAGGGGCCGAATAATATTGCACGCCCCACTTTTCAGTTTTTTATTTGTTAAAAAAGTTTAAATTATCCAATAAATTTCGTTCCACTTCATGATTGTGTCCCACTTGTTGTTGATTCATGACAAAAAATTGAAATTTTATATCTTTATGTTTGAAGCCTGAAATGTGGCGAAATGTTGAAAGGTTGACGGGGGCCGAATACTTTCGCAAGGCAGTGTATTAGTTTGCCTTGATGCTATAGATAGCTAATCCCATGCAGCTGAGTATCTAAATAAAAGCCCTGTTTCCACCAGGCCTACTCTGTCCTTACTCTACCCTGCTCTACTCGGCTCTACTCTAACTGTTTGCGTTTCCATTACAGTAGCCGGTACTAAAGAAGTCCCTGGTACTAGTTAAACGGGGCCATTGGAAACGCATTAGCAGGAGAGAAGGGCCAAGAAGGGCTGGTGGAAACAGTTCTGCTCACACAGCTCGACATCGGAATAGGAACAGCTAAATCTCGAGAGCCAACTTTCCCGAGTCACATGTTGATGGCAAGAACCGCTATTCACAAGTTTTTCCAACAATTAGATTTTGTTTACTTTTTTTTTTTTATTATTATAATAATGGCTAAAATTGTTGTGTTGATATTTGAGTGATAATGTGTTGCAGGTTTGTCCTCTGAGGTGGCTGACCCATGTGAGGAGCCATGCCGGTGCTGTCAGCAGGAGCAGGTGAGTGTGTGTGGCCTGGGGTGGTGTCCAGCTGTGGCTCCTTCTGCTCTTCATCTTCACCCTCCTTCTCCTCATCCTCCTCTTTGTTCTACCTCACTTCCTCCTCCTCTCCTCCACAGGGCTCCACGAGACGCTGGCCCTGCTCACGGCTCAGCTCAGGCCTGATGCCAACCACAAGGAGGACATGGTGTTCCTCCGAGACGTCTTCAGCGAGAGGAGCCTGGCCTACCTCATGAAGGTCAGGGATTCTCCAGCACAGGACTGTACTCACTCAAACCCTGTACCAGTACTGAATGGGAAAGGGGATATCATGTGTTTTTGGTATGATTGGAGTATGATGAGAAAAATAATCACACATGTTATGATTAGAAGAAAATAATCCTAAAGTAGATCCAAAAAATTATTTAAATGAAAAAAAAATCAATGGACAAAGTAAAATGATTGAAACAGAAAGTCAAAAAAAAAAGAAAAAGAAAAACACAAGGCAAAAAACTGGTCCTCCTTTTTATAGAAATACAAAAAGCGGAATCAAAACAAGTCCAAGAAAAAAGTGTTCAAAAAGTGGCAAAACTTCACCATAGACACGATATAACTGGCAGTGGACAGAGGAGGAGACTCACAGACACACAAGGGACAAGGGGAGGGGGGGAGGAGGAGACACAAGAGGAAAGAGGAGGACAAACGTGATTGTTGTATATTATAATAGTTCTCACGTTGATCTAAAAGTGCTTGAATCGTTGACTCCATGCTTCCATCCCTGCAGTACTACCTCGCCTCCTCTTCCTGTGATTTATGACTGCAGTGTTTCTTTATTGAAGTCTACTTAAGAATAGCAGTGGGTTGTGGCTTGGGTCCTCCTCTCACACAAAGAGCTTCAACATATCCACATTCTGCACTTAAGAAACAGAAAAGAAGATTTAAAAACAAGACAATGTCCACCTGCGTTACTATGAAAGTATGAATAAGTCCCTCTACACACTGCAAAAATAACAACAAATATGGTAATAGAAGCTTGAATCCAGTGTTTGTAGCTGTCTAAAAACAAGATTTGCCAATGGGACAAGCAAAAATGTCTTTTTTTTTTAAATATACAAGAAATGTCTTCCTTGGAATAAGAAATAAATTGTATCAGCTCTTGAAATGACTAATTAGATAAATCTTAAATTAAATCAATGATTACCTTATATTTTTTCTGATGGCTGATGAGCTTAAAAGTACTTGGTTAGAGGTTGGACTTCATTTAAATGTATTTGTGTGCAGCCCTTGATCACAACAGCCGTCGTTACTGAGGAATTTTACAAAGTTGTGAGTTCACCAACAATAAATCCAAGAATCAAACCGTTCCAACACAGAATTGCGATAATAGCAAGCACATAGGAGGTGTTGGTCCCGGGCAGCGGAGTGACCAATGTCCATAAGTGTCGTCATCATGCCCCAGGGCAGCTTACAACCTCCCTGTGTGACCTCTGTGTGTGACCTCTGTGTGTGACCTCTGTGTGTGACTTCTGTGTGACCTCTGTGTGACCTCTGTGTGTGACCTCTGTGTGTGACCTCTGTGTGTGACCTCTGTGTGACCTCTGTGTGTGACCTCCCTGTGTGACCTCTGTGTGACCTCTGTGTGTGACCTCCGTGTGTGACCTCTGTGTGTGACCTCTGTGTGTGACCTCTGTGTGTGTGACCTCCGTGTGACCTCTGTGTGTGACCTCTGTGTGTGACCTCCCTGTGTGACCTCTGTGTGACCTCTGTGTGTGACCTCCGTGTGTGACCTCTGTGTGTGACCTCTGTGTGACCTCCGTGTGTGACCTCTGTGTGTGTGACCTCCGTGTGACCTCTGTGTGTGACCTCTGTGTGTGACCTCTGTGTGACCTCTGTGTGTGACCTCCGTGTGTGACCTCTGTGTGTGACCTCTGTGTGACCTCTGTGTGACCTCTGTGTGTGACCTCTGTGTGTGTGACCTCCGTGTGTCACTTCTGTGTGTGACCTCTGTGTGTGACCTCCATGTGTAACATATAAAAGGTCTACTCTATAAAGTGTGTACTCATTTGTAACTTTGTCCGACAGATTCATGAAAAGCTGCGACAGTACGAGAGACAGAGCCCCAGTCCCATCCTCCACACGGCAGCTTCACTCGCTGAAGATGTAAGTGCCACACATCCCCAGCTCCAACTCACACACATCCCTCAATCAAATCATTTTACTATTAAAGCTGGGGTACCTAAATTAAACAACTGATGAGAGCCATAACATGAAGTCTTCTTATTATTAGAAAATGTGCATACTTTGGCTGAGAGAAGGTCGTTCTCTCTCTTCTTTTCTGTTTGAAAAATCTGATTTAAAGTTGCAATATGTAAGATTTTCATGTCAAGTCATCATGAAATGGCCCTATTCTGTCAAAAGTCATTTATAAACCATGATCTTTTCCTCGGATCTCCGAATCTCGGATCCAGGAGGGGCAGTGTGGTTTTCGTCCCGGTCGCGGAACACTGGACCAGCTCTATACTCTCCATCGGATACTCGAGGGTTCATGGGAGTTCGCCCAACCTGTCCACATGTGCTTTGTGGATTTGGAGAAGGCGTTCGACTGTGTTCCCCGGGGTGTCCTTTGGGGGGTTCTCCGGGAGTACGGGGTCGGAGGTCCTCTGCTGAGGGCCATCCGATCCCTGTATGACCGGAGCCAGAGCTGTGTTCGCATTGCCGGCAATAAGTCAGACCTGTTCCCGGTGAATGTTGGCCTCCGACAGGGCTGCCCTTTGTCACCGGTTCTGTTCACTGTATTTATGGACAGAATATCTAGGCGCAGCCAGGGGTCGGAGGGGGTCCGGTTCGGAGACCACAGGATTTCATCTCTGCTGTTTGCGGACGATGTTGTCCTGTTGGCTCCAACGAACCAGGACCTGCAGCATGCACTAGGACGGTTTGCAGCCGAGTGTGAAGCGGCTGGGATGAGAATCAGCACCTCCAAATCCGAGGCCATGGTGCTCGACCGGAAAAAGGTGCCTTGCCCTCTGCAGGTGGGTGGAGAGGTCCTTCCTCAAGTGGAGGAGTTCAAGTATCTCGGGGTCTTGTTCACGAGTGAGGGAAGAATGGAGCGTGAGATTGACAGGCGGATCGGTGCAGCGTGCGCAGTGATGCGGTCTCTGTATCGGACCGTTGTGGTAAAGAGGGAGCTGAGCCGAAAAGCAAAGCTCTCGATTTACCGGTCAATCTTCGTTCCCTCCCTCACCTATGGTCATGAGCTTTGGGTAATGACCGAAAGAACGAGATCGCGGATACAAGCGGTCGAAATGAGCTTCCTCCGCAGAGTGGCTGGGCGCTCCCTTAGAGATAGGGTGAGGAGCTCGGTCATACGGGAGGAGCTCGGAGTAGAGCCGCTGCTTCTCCACGTCGAGAGGAACCAGTTGAGGTGGCTCGGGCATCTGTTCCGGATGCCTCCTGGACGCCTTCCTGGGGAGGTGTTCCAGGCACGTCCCACCGGGAGGAGGCCCCGCGGAAGACCCAGGACACGCTGGAGAGACTATGTCTCTCAGCTGGCCTGGGAACGCCTTGGGGTCCCCCCGGACGAGCTGGAGGAAGTGTGTGTGGATAGGGAAGTCTGGGCGTCTCTGCTTAGACTGCTGCCCCCGCGACCCGGCAACGGATAAAGCGGAAGAAAATGGATGGATGGATGATCTTTTCCAATACTTATTTAACTGATAACAGTAGTTCAGCCGAGATTAGTTTTACAGCCCCTACATCTTGTTATTGTTTTCATTTCAATGTCCCGCCCTCGACTCTTTTACCAATCAGAAAGTCTGTGATCCGGGTTGCCAGAACTCACAGCATCAAGCTAATCTCACTGGTACAGTAACATGTGGCCGCAGAACTAAAAAGGTCTTGTTATGATTCTCAAATCACTAACAACAAAGGGAAATAAAGGAATTAAACAAGACATTTCTATTGGGGCCTTTGTGAAAATGTGTTTGTTATAGATTTGTTGTTGACAAAACTCTTGTCTATTCAGATTTTTTGGTTCCTTTTTATCTGGCAACCTGAGTCAAGGCGAGTGGGAGAGGTTGCAATACCTCTTTTGGCCAAGGTTTTACATACTGCTCTTTTAAAGATGTGACAGAGGCCAAAAATACAGTGGGACAAAAATGTATTTAGTCAACCTCCAACTTACAAAGAGGAGAGATGCCTGCAATGATCATAGAGAAACAACCTTGTCTGATTTTTTATTAATTTATTTGCAAATAATGGTGGGAAAATTGCCCCCCTCTACAAGAAAAATAGTGATAGCAGCCAGTGATAGGTACAAGAAACTGTTTTTTTTTTTTGTAATTTGAAACAGGTGGTCTTTCAGCTCGTTCCTAGTAACAAACACAACTTTTTGGTCCTGATCTTTCTGAGTAAACTCTCAGATACATATGCAGTTCAACCAATGCAAATGTTTTCAAAGCGCTGAGTCACATTTGTTGGTCTAGTGAAACTCCATCTCCTGCTCTCTGCGTTATCGGGGCCAGAGCGAGAGTGCTGAGTCGGCACAATCGTTTCTTATCTCCCCACTGTGTGCATATGTCTGCTCCCGTTATACAGCCACCGGGACAGTGCATTATTCATGTGCACCGGGATTGGGGTTACTGTAGGTTGTGGTTAATGTATGCAAATGTGCGTTTGTGTGTGTGCGTGCGTGCGTGTGTGTGTGCGTGTGTGTGTGTGTGTCAGGTGGCCGAGGAACTCCAGTGTGGACCAATGAGCACAGAGGAGAAGGAGCTGCTGCATCTTCTCACATCACCACATATGAAGGTATTGGATCCACAGAATAGAGGGAAAGAGGAATTCACGGCAAAAGATCACTTCTATTCAGAGGAAATGTGGAATAGTTCAATTCAACGTGTTTTTGTGTAGCTCTAAATCACAACAGCAATCGTCTCAGTGGACATTGGGACATTCATTTTCTAATCTGTTCTGGGGAATGGATAAACAATTAGAACAGAGGAAATGCAAGCAGTCATTGGGAGTGATGTAACCAAAGTTAACAAAGATAGATAATTATTACCTCTAGTGTGTATATGTATTAGCTTATCAACTGAACACTTTTTGCTTGTACACAGATTGTTTTGATTATTATAACCATGAATGAGTTATACAACTGTAAAAAGTATGAATATATTTGTTATGTTTTACATGCAGATTGAGCTGCCAAATTTGTTTTGATCAGTCAAAAAGCATAGATGTGTCTGTACCATGTTTTTTTCTTTTTTTTATATATCTGGATTAACTATTGCGAGCTTTTCCAAATAACTTGATCAGGGCTGACCCAGGATTGACAGTACCCCTCAGTACCAACCCTATCCCTAAATCACACAAAAACACTGCTACACCTACATGAGATATCATATGGCATATTAAGTAAAAACAATTTAACTAATCTAAACAGAAAAACAGAACACTTTAAAGTTATGTCAAAATATTATGCACGCTGCAAAGTGGATGGTTTAAGAATGAATTAATTACTTAAGTTTCAAATCAAAGAACATTTTAAGTTTTCAGCCCTTGAGTATGGCGGGCCCCTCTGCTCCAGCTCCTGCTCGCCCTTTGGATAAGACACACATGGTTGTATGTATAGAACTATAAGGGCCAGTCCAGAATGACTGCAGTGAAAAGTTCTGCTTCCTACAGTACAGCCCAGAAAGCGCTTTTCCCAAAGGAACGCAGCGTTGAAACAAACTGCTCCTTTTCAGCTGACAGGGAACCTACTATTTTCTTAAAGGTCGGATTCTGTAGCTATTTTTTTCTGCTGCAGTTCCTTAGGGTTTTTAAAAATAAACTCAGACTTTTGTTCATAAAAGTCGTCCTGCTCTATCTGTCTAAAAAGCATTATGGGTGAGGAAGCTTGGCCGGCGAGCCACAGAATTGGGAAGGCTTTTATTCTATTTATCCTTTCTTGATATTATTGTTGTGTGTTTCTTCAGGCGGTTCTGTCAGTCCACGATACAGTAGCCCAGAAGAGCTTTGACCCGGTGCTCCCTCCGCTGCCCGACGACTTCGAAGATGAAATCGACGAAGAATCAGTGAAGATCGTTCGTTTGGTCAAAAACAAAGAGCCCCTCGTGAGTCTGAACTAAATGTGCATCCATGTTTGGAACAGGGGTTGGATCAAATAGACACTTATAAACTTCCTCCTCACTCATTTCAATACAAACCATACAAGTAAGAATAAAACCTTTCTCTTATTAACCTGTCCCTTTGTAAATCATCTTTGGGTGTACAAAATAGCGCTATATGATGATATATTATTATTATTATTATTCAGATTGTCCAAAAAAGGTAGAAAATTAACACACACACACACACACACACACGTAGAGGCCCAATGATAATGCTGTTTCAGCTACAGTTGAACCTGATGAAATCTCACACAACAAAGAGACAAAGTTAATCTTTTACTTGTTACATTGTACAAGGAGAATGTCTTGACAGAGGCAAGGCACAGACCCTATCCTCTCTCAGGACAAGTCTGAAGATTCACAGTCTGCAAGCCCCTTTTGGTAGAACAAGACACACCTTCGTATGCAGATGGGAAAGGAAGAAACCAACACAACAAAAGACACCTAGCATATGAGCTCCCCAGACCTCCCGGTGTCTTCCTGAAGCTAAAGTGAATTAGAATACAGAGCATTCAGCACATAGCCACATACGATTTACCAAAATGATAACTTAAGTTACATTCCAATATCACCCAAACACTCTCTGACCCAACAGCAATCCCCCACTCGCGCCGTTCTGAAGGCATAGATAGAGGCCCAAACACTCTCTGACCCAACACCTATCCCCCAATCGCTCCGTTCTGAAGCCATACCTCTCCCTCCTCCATGTAATTCTCTTTTAAACAGTTTAAAAAAAAAATTGCAATCAGGTTTTAACATGTACAATTTTTTAAATCATCTCTTTATCCGAAGAGTCTCCCCACACACTGAAAGCCGTCAAAATGACTGCTCAAAGAGTTCTAGTGTTTCTATAATAATGGTTTTATTTTTGCAGGGAGCCACAATCAGAAGAGATGAGGAGACTGGAGCAGTGTTAGTCGCCCGCATCATGAGAGGAGGAGCCGCCGACCGCAGCGGTAAACACACACTGTACACTTTTTACCACAACACTGTTTATTTGTCTATTCAATGTTGTTGTATTAAAAGTGTGTGTGAATGTATGTGTGTGTGTGTGTGTGTGTGTGTACCGGGCGGCTTGTACTGTGGTGTTGGCGGGATATGCTCACTCCCAGGACTCTCTAAGGACAGTTACTTTTAAAAATGTGAAGATGGAGAGACGTTTTTTTTAGATGCTATTACAAGTTAGACCCGCCCCCACAACTTCCTGATTGGACAAAATAATTAATCCAAATTGACAGATGAGGCCCTCACCATTGGTCTATTCTCCTCCAGCAAATCTTTCTGCTAATGCTTAACCCAAGGAGAGGGGCTGTTTTAAATGTATTTATTATGAAAAATACCCAATTTATGGGCAAAAATATGAAATTCATTACAATTTAAGTTGCAGACATCACCTTTAATTCAGAAATATTAAGGAATTACAGATATACTCAAATCACAACTGAATATTGCCTAAAGTAGCAATATGTAAAAATCTGTCCAAAAGTGGTACTGCAATCCCGGTCAATATTCTGTAGTCCTCTCCCTCACTCAGGTTGCCAGATATGCAAACGAATCCAACTGGGACCACAATAGCTGAACAGACAAGAGTTTTGTCAAGAACAAATCTATAACGCGACATCAAAATGAAAACAATAACAAGATTTAGGGGGTGTCAAATCAATTTTTAAGTTCAAAATATTTCTGCTAAACTACTGTTTTCAGTTAAAGTAGTATGCGAAAAGACCATGGATTATTAATGCTTCTTGACTTACAGTATTAGTATTAGAGCCATTTAATGATGACTTGACATGAAAATCTTACATATTGCTACTTTAATTCACTTGATTTGATCACAACACACACACAAACAGGTCCTCATGACTGTTTATGTCAGTTAGGGACTTGCCTGGTGCCTGAATGTAAAGCAACCAGCCTTTGTCTCATGAATATTTAATGTGTCTCTGGTTTTCTTGCTGTGTCAAACGCTGGGATCCGCTTTCATCGATAACATGCCGTGATTTCAGCTGGAGGCTTTTGTCTAGAGTGCATACATTACACACCGACAATAACACGCGCTGTGCCTCAGTCCTCGGGGGAAAACTGTATTGATGATATGTGATAGACTTGAGTCTCAGTGTTGTGGCTGTCGTCTGTGTCAACTATAAAGATAAAGAAGAAGACGGCTGGTGGTCATAGACTATAGAGACTTAGACATAATCGTGTTCTTTTATCTCTTCTCTGTGACAGGACTGGTGCATGTGGGAGATGAACTCAGGGAGGTGAATGGCGTCTCTGTGATGCACAAGAGACCAGACGAGATCAGCCAACTACTTGTAAGTCTTGTAAGAAAATTAACTGTTTATATGATTTAAGAATTAGATGTTTTTTAGGTGAGGGGTAAGAATGTAAATGTGAGGGGGAAGAAGTGTTTGTATGAGAGGGTGGTTGAGCCGACTGTGTTGTTTGGTGCGGAAAGGGGGTGTATGAGAGAAAGTGAAAGTAAGAAATGTAATGCGTTTGAAGTATGATAGGTTGTGACTCTTATGGATAGAATGAAGAAGGTACCAGTTAGGGAAGAGAAGGGGTGTGTTGGGTGACCTGGTTGGGCAGATGCATTTGTGTTGGGATGGTACAGACATCTGCAGAGACTGGATACAGAGAGATTGATGAAGAGAGTGATGAATAGTTGCATGAGTGGTAGTAGACCAAGAGGTAGGCCAAGGTATGGATGAGGTCTGACAGTGGAGGAAGCAAGTTGGTGCATAAGACAGAGACGAGTAGTGATTGTGAATGTATGAACTGACGTGACTCTGGGGGATGCACTGCCTTCATGAAGCGACGGGAGGTGAATCAGTTTTTGCTGTAGGGCCCCCTGGCCGAGAGCCACCGGGTAAAACCAGGGCCATGATATGACCCCGCTGTGGTGCCACCCGGTGACAGTGCTGCTTGCCTGAGGGGTGAATGAGTGTTTGATCGGAGCTCTCCACTCTCCTACGAGGAAATGTTTATGGCTATAGATAGATACTATATTTGATTAGGAACTTTTTACAGATAATGTTTTGAATTCAGAATCAGAATTATTTTTATTACCGTTGTAAGTAACTGGAACTCACAAAATAGGGCTTTGCTTTGGTCTAGGGTGCAAACTAGTCATAAAAAGTAAAGTGGAGCTCATAGTTCATAATGTGATCATATTTTATATTTTAAGTCAGTTTGTGTGAGCTCTCAGTCGGACAGGGATTAGTCAAAGCAAAGGAAGGTTTCTCACCCATCATCTGTACTTCTTAGCAGATTTTCCCAAGTCACTTACTGTATTTTTTATGAATAATACAATTGTTGTTTGATTGATCTCTCCGTCTGTTCCTAGTCTCAGTCACAAGGCTCCATCACCCTCAAAATAATCCCAGCCATTAAAGAAGAAGACCGGCTGAAGGAGAGCCAGGTCAGAGGTCACCTTCTTCTGCACATCTTTATCAAACCTTTATATTAAGTGTAAACAATGAGTGATAATAAATATCTGGAATCTTCTTTTGTGGACCTGCAGGTTTTCATGAGAGCCCTGTTCGACTACATCCCCATCGAGGACAAAGCCACGCCGTGTCAGGAGGCGGGACTTCCCTTTAAGAAAGGCGATATCCTGCAGGTGGTCAGCCTGGACGACCACACCTGGTGGCAGGCCAAACGAGTGGGCGACAGCAGCCTCCGCGCCGGCCTCATCCCCTCCAAGCACTTCCAGGAGAGGTGGGTGCACTCTGTAGAGCTGTCCATGCAGCAGTGGGAAAGGTGGGAGTGTTGTTTGGACCTGTGACTGCTTTTCACCACAGGGAAGAAAATGTCAAAATAAAATGGTCAAAACAGACTCTCAAAATAAGTCTTCTAAAGTCCGGTGGGCGAACTCTCTGGGATTTATTGGCTGGTTATATGTCAGATGTTATTGACTCATGTTAGAATGCCATGTCAACCCAGGACAGCAGTGGGAAAGGCGGGCGTGTTGTTTGGACCCATCTAATCTATTTAAAACATATTATTTATAGGAAAGGGCAGTGTTTGTGTTACAGCGCAAACTTTGAAAAGAGCATCACTGTTGTTATGGGGCCAAGTATTGTCACTTATATGTTTTTACAGTATAACCTTCTTCACCTGACCACACACAACTGTTTGGTTTTATTGCTTGGTGTTGTTTTAGTTTTAGAGAAGAAAGCATAAAAAAGAAGAAAATGTATTTGTATAGCATATTTCATGCAAATACATGCATTATAGAAACGCTAAATGGTCTATTGGAAAGGCGGTCTGAACAAGTGAGATTTGTCTACTCTTAAAGGCCCTCATTATCAAAGTAAAGTAGCCTAATCTGGGTCTTTGAAGATGTGTGGAGCCAAAATTGGTCTCCAGAGAACAGAACTCGCTTTGGGATTAATGGAATCACACCGTATTAGTAAGTGCTGCATATGCTTAAACTTCATGTATATCACAAAACTAAAAGCTGGAGTACCGTTTTAACACAATTTATGAATACACAGAACTCATTAAAATACAAGAATGGTGGATCCATAAAAGCAGTATTTTAAATCAGTCTAACACATATGATCAAAGTGCTGCTTGCTTCGGTGTTGAATAGAGATACAGTGTGTGTGTGTTAGTGTGCGTGTGTGTGTGTGTGTGTGTAAGGCGGTGAGACAGTGAGTGGTGCTGATTGTGCTGGCAGCTCCTCTTTTGTTTGGACACATAGAAGCTCACTTTTAACAGACTCTTGCAGCTGTTGCTTTGACGTCATGTGAAAATCCCCTATAGACATTCTCTCTGTACAGATGTGTAGTGTCAGTGTCATAATCCCTCTTTAAGATGATCACACACACGCACGCACACACACACACACACACACACAACTGTTTGGTTTTATTGCTTGGTGTTGTTTTAGTTTTAGAGAAGAAAGCATAAAAAAGAAGAAAATGTATTTGTATAGCATATTTCATGCAAATACATGCATTATAGAAACGCTAAATGGTCTATTGGAAAGGCGGTCTGAACAAGTGAGATTTGTCTACTCTTAAAGGCCCTCATTATCAAAGTAAAGTAGCCTAATCTGGGTCTTTGAAGATGTGTGGAGCCAAAATTGGTCTCCAGAGAACAGAACTCGCTTTGGGATTAATGGAATCACACCGTATTAGTAAGTGCTGCATATGCTTAAACTTCATGTATATCACAAAACTAAAAGCTGGAGTACCGTTTTAACACAATTTATGAATACACAGAACTCATTAAAATACAAGAATGGTGGATCCATAAAAGCAGTATTTTAAATCAGTCTAACACATATGATCAAAGTGCTGCTTGCTTCGGTGTTGAATAGAGATACAGTGTGTGTGTGTTAGTGTGCGTGTGTGTGTGTGTGTGTGTAAGGCGGTGAGACAGTGAGTGGTGCTGATTGTGCTGGCAGCTCCTCTTTTGTTTGGACACATAGAAGCTCACTTTTAACAGACTCTTGCAGCTGTTGCTTTGACGTCATGTGAAAATCCCCTATAGACATTCTCTCTGTACAGATGTGTAGTGTCAGTGTCATAATCCCTCTTTAAGATGATCACACACACGCACGCACACACACACACACACAAAACAAATGTGTTGCTTTTGTTGTGAGAATAAGCCATATATTGATATTTTCTGTTATTATGTATCGTAACGGTCTGATATGTAAACTATACAAATAATTTTTTTATTCAACCAAAAATCTTAAAATTCGTAAAAAATACAGTTGACAGGAGAGGGAAAGGGGAAAGTTGTTCCTATTTGTGATTGCACAGTGAAAACATGTTCTCTTTGTTCATCTCCTGTGTTTAACAAATAGAGGAAAGAAAATCTGTAGAAAATCTTGGTGTGGTGCAGGATACGGTTCATCCTTTGCTAAACCAATATACATACAGATTTAACCTAAATACATGAAAGCCTTTTGCTATGTTGGCAATACACACACATATTTAACAGATTGAAGAAAAATATTTGCCAAAATAGTTTTTATGTTTCATTTTTCAGCCTGAATATTACGATTTAGTCACTGAAGAAGTATATTGGAATAAGTCTGAGAGCAGATTGTCCGGTCACCAAAAAAATAAATTTTGTGAGATTTAAAACCCACAGTTTTGCTCTTGGGTCAAACCAATTCAACCTTGTGCTTCTCCTGACATGTATCTTGTTTATATCTTGAATACTTTCTGTCAATATTCACTATTTCTGACTTTTCTTTCTCTCTCTCCTCTGTTTTCCTGCCCTGTCCCTGCAGACGGCTGGCCTACCGGATCAAAATGGGCACGCTTCCCAATCCCAAATCCCCCAAAAAGTCGCCTTGTGAGTTCCCCTGGTTCTACATCATTCCCACAATATCTATACACCTCGCTGTGTTTCTGCCGCAGCCTCCCAAGCACTCGCTGATCCGTCGGCGTAATTCCTCTGGCTACGCTTTAATGTTTTCATTGACATTTATTGACCTTTTTTCTGGTAATTGGCATTTCCCATCGGCATTAGGTTTCATTGTGGACCCGCTCACTGCAGCTCTTCTGTGAATCCAGGCACTTTTGCACAGAGTAAGGGATCACAGATATGAAATAATCTCTCGTATTGCGTCTCCATCTGGCTGCCGCTGTCTGTACGTTGAGCTTATGCACAATAACCGGAGCAAATACCTTTACATAAGTCGGTCATTGAGTTCTGATAAACGTCTGGCATCTGTGGGAACCGTTTGTTGATGTTTTTAGAAGCAGCCAAATGCATCTGTGAGCGTAAATACAGGATAATGTCATGTGTGGATGAGAGGGGCTTTATCGACTTTGTCCAAACATAGTGACCGGCGTAGAGAGAAAAAAAAAGTTTAAGATAAAGAGACGGTGACGATAGAGTTCATTCATTGAGCCGGTAACAACTTGTGATGCAATGTGTTTGAAATGTATGCGGTAAAATACGGTAAAATAGCTGTTTAGCCTATTATCAGCTGAAAAATGTCTCACCAACCACCAAACACCTATAGTAAGGCAAGGCAAGTTTTTTTTTTTTTAGCAAAGTACATACACAATGCAACTCCAAAAGCGCTTAACAAAACAAGATAGGAACCATCACACAGGCATAAAGATCATAAATAATAAAAAAAAAAATTATATATACACAACTAAACTAAACTCAATCTGAATTTGAACAGTCAGAGTAGAAGCCTGTCTTGACATTTTCAGGATTTGAGCTGCATAAATCTGAAACGCCTCCTAAACAGAAATTAGGGACACAATCAAAAACAAATGTCTGTACAAGGAAAAGTCAACGCCGGGAGAAATCCAAGTGTCCAGCCGCAGAAACACATCCACATAAGTCCACATAAACCATTGACAAGATTATTATTATTATTATGTATGCTCTGAGTTGGTGAGGCCACAGTGACTCTCTCATGACAGAGCCGGTGGTAAAAAGACAGGTGTGTGATGCATACGGATGTGTTTAAGCGTAATCTGAGGCCAATGCGATTAGGTCTGATCCGCTGGGAGACTACAATGGATTAGCAGCAGTAAGTCATCGTCCCACAGAAATGGCTCAGGGACACTCCACGCTTCTCTGCCCTGGATTAACGTCCTCATAACCCCGTCACGGTCTGTAAATGTTGGAAAATCCTTCGAGCATTGTCAGGGACCTTCTTCAGAGAGACTAAAAATGACACTTGATTTTCTTGCGCTGTTGTTTTGGGTTGTTTCTGTGTTGATAGGTTAGACTGATAGTACTGTAAAATAAAATAGATTATATTATAGTATTTGTCATAGCAATATCCACATTAGTTAAATAACTGCAGCTCTGAGATTATGATGAATACATTTGCTATAAAAACCATGTCTATCTGTTTTCAGTGGCTGAACGACAAAGCTGTATAACATTTTGTGACTCCCTCTAGTGGTACAAAGTAGAACAACCTTCCCACTCATGTCTGCAGATAACAGTGGTATGCAAAAGTCCGGGACCCCTCTCAATTTTCATGATTTTGCTTTATCAATCATTGGTTGTTTGGGAAAGGGATATTTTGTATTATTAACAGAAAGTATACAAGAATTATGTATTAATCACTGTGTTTGTCTCCTATGTGATATATTTATACTGCAAATTCGTATCCAAACAACCAATGATTTATAAAAAAAATCCCAAAAATGAATAGGGGTGCCCAAACTTTTGAATACCACTACATTCCCTGTGTGTGTGCGTGTGAGAGTTGTTTTTATACTTTTAAATACTAATACAAAGCCATAAACTGTTCACCATCTAATTTGTACCTCTCTTTTTTCCCCTTATGTCCTGCTCTGCCAGACGAACAGGGATGTGACAAAGGTGGGTCCATGCGTTTCATTTGTGTTTCTGTAGTTTAACACGTGCACATCTTGACACAAAAACACATTGGCGTCCTACAACTACAGTACTGCTCCGTCTTGCTCCGAGCGACTTCTTTACCGGGTGTGCGTGTGTAGAGAGCTTACATGTGTGTCAGCGGAGTTGACATTTGGGATTTCTGCTCTTGCAGCTTATCGCCCGTCCTGCTGCTGTTTGTGTGTGGGTGTGTCTGTGTGTGTGTGCGTGTGTGTGTGTGTGTGTGTAGGTGTAGGCAAAAGCCACTCCCTGAAGAGCGCAGTCCTTCATAGCAACCATGGTTAACAATAAATAATTTCAACATTTGGTGTACTTTATATAGTACCTTTTTACAATGCATGTTTGCTTTAAAAAAAAAATCTATTTCTAACACTATTAAAGCTGAGGTCCCACGTTCGAGTTTCCTCAGAGTTGTTGCTAGATCTTTCCGTGATGCAAAATCTCTTGGGGCGTTTGTAGATCGTCTGTAAGCTGCGGCCGCCCCTCCTTCTGCCTGCTGCCCGGGCCCACCCAAATCCAAACCTTTTTTTCTTCCCACAGTCCTCCTCTAACTCTAGGCCCCTGTGCTGACCCCTGTTTTCCCTGCTTGCCCCTTACAGAAGACTGTGATTGTGAGGGATATTTCAATGGACAGTACATAGGTGAGAGTGGCGCCTCCGCTGTGCTCTGCTGCCCTCCTGCTGCTGCTGCTGCTGTTACCCCCTGGTTGTATGGGGTTGATTTGCCCCATGGCCTGGTCAGGGTAAGAGGAAGGCTTCATCTTATTGGAGAAAAGCAGGAGTTCTTAATGAATTTAGTCAGATTGACATTGTTTTGAACCAGCTTCATACACAGCAAACATACCCATACACATATATTGCTTCAGATACAAAAGAGAAGGAACAGACCAAGAAGTACAAAACCAAAAATGCTTGAAAACGTATTATGTCTTGATTTTGGCTCGCCTCGAGAAGGGACTAGCAAAAATATCTTGTTCAAGAATACGCAGTAGCATAGTTTCCTCTTAAACAACCTGTCCTTTTGCTTGTCCCATTGTCACAATTTGTTTTAAAGTTTTAAAATGACATATTTTTGTTATTTAGTCAGTATTTGCCCGAATTAGTGTAAAAAATTTGTGCGTTCAATGTGTGTAGTAAAAACACAGAAAGAGGAAAATGAAAGGATTACATAATGCATTTTTGTAAAAGTACGAGTAAGAGTAGAGAGTAGAGTATGTTTTATTAAAGCGTCAATTCAGCTGCCATGATCATTTCTCTAAATAATCACAGTACATTAAAAAGAGTGAAGATTTACATTCCTTTAGGTGTAAGGACAGCTAAACAGAACGATTTTCAACCTGGATTTGAACATTGTCAGAGTTGAAGCCTGGCTCACATTTTAAGAAAACCGTTCCAGATTTTAGCCGCATATATACAGTATCAAACGCTGCCTTCCCATGTTCAGCTGTGTACGTGTATAGGCCGATCAGAAGAGTTTAGAGTTTACATAGAACATTTATATTCCACTTGCAGTCCCCAGCCTTCCTTCCTCTTACCTGCCTCCCTGTGACCCTTTGTGACTGACCACCACCACAGTCTGTGACCTGCTTCAAAGCCCACCCCCAATGAATGAAGCCCACCCTGTACCTTCTGCCTCGGCTTCTTCTCGCTTTGAGTCCCTTCCCTCCATCCTGGCAGCTGCACTTGTCCTCGAGCACCCTCCTCTCCTCTGCCCCCAGTCCAGAGTGACCCCTGTGCTCTCACCCCCTGCCCGCCCCTATATCCTGCCCTTGTACTACTACTGCTGCTGCTGCTGCTGCTGGTGCTGCTATTGGTTGCATTGCACAATAGTATGGCTTCTCTCCTCCTCCACTGCTGCTGCTGCTGCTGTTATGGGTTGTGCCATTCTCTAACGACACTTGACAGTCTCTCCGAAGTGTAAAGCAGTGGCGCCCTCCTGTGGCCAGGTCTTTTCATGGGAGTTTTACTCAGGTACAGTGCTCGAAAAAATATCACTTCTCGGGTTCACTGCACACTGACAGGCGCAGACAGACCTCGCCCCGGGACGTTGTGTGTGTGCGGGGGATCGGATTGTTGTCCCATGGGTCCAGGCTGTCTGTGGATCCTGCCTCATTGTTGTGTTTTTGTATTTAAGGCGGCATGATGAAGTAATGTACTGTACAACAATGCACAATAGCAGACATGGGATATGTGCACAGCTACTGAGGACCAAGTGACTTAAATGCATGGCCAGGACCAGCTTTTGTGCAAAATGTCTCTGTCGGCAGAGGTGGAAAGTAATGCTTTCACAAGTTCTCAAAATGTAACTTTTTCAACAATTTTGAAATGCAGGTTTGTATTTGAACTACTTGTATTAAAAGTACAGTAACAGTGATGGATGTGACAGGATACTGCAATTTTACTCAAAAATACTCTATCACTACCGCTTCTTTATTTTACATTTGCGTTTTGGTCTCCAGCATTCCCCATTTTGGCAATGTTGGCCTAAAAAGTTTATAATTTCACTTTTAGGATTTTACTATGTTAGCAGATAGAAAGTATGTTACCTATAGCAACAATAGGGGCTAAATATTTTTTTATTTACCCAATAGCAACGCATTATCAGATGAAATATGAGGAAACTTATTGTAAATATTCAAATTTTGTTTCCGTGATTTACCAATTTACAATTTACAAATGATCAGGGAAACTCTTTTGATTTTTAAACTTTCTTTCCACATGCGCTTTCCAACCAAATAACAAAATGATTCCCTTAAAAAAGTAACCTGTCATATGCACTTGGTAGCGAAGAAGTTGAAAAAGTGATGACCGCAAATGTATTTTTCACATATTGTCTCGTTTAAAAGGATTCTTACCACTATGTTTTCTTCTTCCACCTCTGTCTGCATCACCGTGTCTTTTCTGACTCTTGGTTTTTTAACAACACAGTGGAAAATAATGCATGACATCCAGTGCACAACCGTACAACAGAATGGACCGGCCTGTCACAATAACGACTATATACACTTTCTGTAACTCAATCAATGAATGAGAAGTTGTATTCAGCAACTCGATATTTTTCATATGTACGGATCATTTGCAATAGCGGGAAGATTTTCTATTCTGATGCATTTTGGCTACACACCTCTTCGCTACGTGGTCAGTTCCATAGTTACAGACGGGAAAACGATGCTCTTGACAACCACTATTGACAACAGACATCTTCATCAAGCTAATTGGAGTCCACACAGGCTTGAACGCAGCTGGATTTGTGCCAAAATGTGATATGAATCCATCTGAGAGCTCTGTTGTCTTCTGTCAGGTCCTGCAGGTGGTGTGTTTTGGCTAATAGGGAAATACTGGTTGTCAAGGCCATGTCATAACACTATAGAACTCCGAGAGCAGTCAATTTGACGGCTTTTAGTTTTGGAAGTGTGATTATTGTTTCTATATGCAGTTTATTTCAATGCCGCTATTTTTGAGGAAATGATTTTGTATTTATTTTGTTATTTTTGCAAAAGAACTCTTAATTCATCTGTTTTGTTTGTTACTCACCATAGTTACCACAGCAACACACTGTTTACTAGCCAGCAGTATAGCATTTGGTAGCCGCTCTGCAAACTGTCTTTTCTGCATTTCAAATTATATTCACCAGTCTTTGTACATACGGTATAGGGCGTTAGTAAAAGTGAGTGATTATTTTTTATTTTTTTTACCAACACTAAATTGAACTTCTTTTTGGGGCGAATTTCTCGGAATTCCATCTGTTTGAATGGGAGCAGTCAAAATCAATCAATCAATCAAATTTTATTTTTAGAGGCTAGTGAATATAATCTGAATCTAGCTTTTGGTCAAAGTTGATGGATTGATTGATTTTTTTTTTTTTTTACTAGTGCAAAATTGAACTTCTTTTGGGGGGGAATTTCACTGAATTCCATTGGTGTTAATCAGAGCAGTCAAAATAACGGCTCTGGGAGTTCTAGTAGTATCATAATTCTGGCAATCCTCGTGTTGACCTCTCCATATCGATGGCATTGATCACGTCGCTAAAAGATTATTTAGAAGATTTACTGTTTAATTCCACTCTTTTGTCGAGTCATCTCTGGCCTTTTGATGATGGAGCCAACACTGTTTTACCTTCTCCTGTAGTAATTGTCCCAGTGGCACAAAGCCAACATAATAATTCATTGTGATATACATTTCTAGCAGTACTGGTTGTTCTTGTGACAGGCCACTTATGGACTGCATTATGTCTGCATCATGACTGAATCTGCTCCGGTCTGTGATGCATCAGACCTGATCTCGGTCCGTCTCTGTCCACAGCGGGTTTGCGGAGGAGTTTTCGCCTCAGCCGGAAAGACAGGCAGGGCTCGTCGGGGGAAGGCTCGGACCCCGGGGACCCAGACTTCCTGACGTACGAGGAGGTGACGCGGTACCAGCAGAGACCCAACGAGAGGCCGCGGCTGGTCGTGCTCATTGGTGAGGACCGCAGACGAGGTCAGATAGAGCAAAGACACAGTGTATGAGGAGAGGAAACAGTCTATTGTTGATTATAGACTATATACATTTAAAAAAGTGGCTGACTTTTATGAAGAGAAATTTTTCACTTTGTCCCGCCCCCACAGCTTCCTGATTGGATGCAATGAATTCAAAACCCTTCATCTTTGGGCTAGCAATTCTCCTCCAGCAAATATTAATACCATTGGTTTTTATTTCTTATTTAAAAAAGTCGATTTCTATTATGTGGCTTTCTCTTGCTTTTTGTTCTTCTTTATTTTCAAATTTCAGTGTGTAATAATATGTTCTGATGAAAAAACATGCCCTTAAAGTGTATGAAAGGAATCACTACTGACTATCGCTGCATGCTCCAGGCTGTTACTAACCACTCCAGTCCAAATGCAGAGTGTCTCATGTGGCTTTTCCGTTCGTGCAGGTTCACTGGGAGCACGGATCAATGAGCTCAAACAGCGGGTGATCGCCGAGAACCCTCATCGTTACGCAGTCGCCGTTCCTCGTGAGTCCTGCTCTAACTGTGGATAAAGTTTCAGTTTCCGTGTCCGTTTATTCTTTTTCACAATATCACACATTTACTCAGACATTGGGTTTGTATCAATTTTTCGTGACGCTTAGAAAATGAAATGGACACCATAGCAAGCTACACATGCTTCTGTATGAGTCCAACATTACAAAGATTACAGAAACAGATGAAAACTGAGATTTGTTAAATTTGAGATTTAAAAAATTGGAAAAGAGAAATGGAAATATACATATACACACACACACACACGCGCTCATGCACACCCATGCACACACACACACACACACACACCCACCCACACACACCTTCAGAAATCAAGTTTGTGTCCATGAATTTTCATTTATCATTTATTTTCAATGTTGTATCCATTGTTAATACTATTTTTCATTGGTATTTTTATTGTATTAGGTGTTAATAATAATAATAATATCATTATTATAATCGCTATTGTTGTATTGTTCTCCAATTTGTTCATTTAGTATCACAAACGTGTACATTTAGTCTAATGTCTTGCAGTCTTCCTGGTATTGAAAAGTTAAAATCTATTTGTTACTCCCTTGTTACCATGGCGGCGCATGAACTTGCTTCTCTCTCTCTTGACAAGGTGACGTTTCTACCCTTTTCTACCCTTTTCTGCAAACTGCATTTGCAGTTTTTCTGATCCGCATTGTTTTTCAAGATGTTGTTGTACATCTTTGCCATGTTTTTGTGGAGTTCAGCGGATTTTTTACTGCCAAAGCTCTTTGCTAGCAATGAACAGAGGATGTGTTTTTAAAAGTAAACACACAGTTAGCATCTGAGCTAAAGGCTTTTTGAGCAGTATTTAAGACCTACAAATCCAGAGATATCATCTTCTGAAGCGCTGACAGGTCACCGAGGGCCCCACGCATCTGCAGAACAGTGGAGGCGTCACAAGAGGCGCTACAGGAGTCCCGGCCTCCGTTGTGGGCAACTTCTACAGAGGGACTGTAGAGAGCATCCTGACCAGCTCCATCACTGGGTGGCACGGCACCAGCACTGCCTCCTGCCGAAGGAGCCTCCAGCGCATCGTGAGAGCAGCAGAGAAGATCTGTGGAGCCACTCTCCCCACCATTAAGGACATGTACTCCACCCGTCTCACCCGCAAAGCCGTCAGAATCACCAAGGACCCTACGCACCCATCACACAGGCTCTTCAGGGTAATGCCTTCAGGGAGGAGACTGCAGAATTTACGGAACAGTTCCAGTCGACTTAAAAACAGTTTCATTCTCAAGGCCATCAGGAAGCTGAACTCCCTGCCCTCCCTCCCACCCCGCTTCCCCCACCCCCCGCTCCACAATCAAGGATGAGAGAAATATAATTTCAAACCATTCACTTGGTTTGACAAATAAAAATCTTGAAATCTTGAAATAAGTATTTTTGGACCTCTGTCACATCTTTAGATCAGCTTTATCAGACAGAAAAGTGAGGTACCCCAAACTCATTCATCCTCGCTGTGTGAAGGAGAGGTTCCGTTGGTATTTCCTTCCTGCTGCTGTCAGACTGTACAATGAGAAGTGCTCTGTCTCTACATCTGTAAATGAGTAAATAGTGCAATCATGTGCAATGTCCACTGAATGTCACTTAATCTACTTATTACCCTGCCATGTATATAACAATACACTATATGTACTTAAATATTTTGATAGATTTGTATTGAGAAACATAGCAGTCACCTTTTTTATTTTGTATATTTTGTGTGCTCCCTGTGTGCTCTTACCACTGTCCTGAATGTGCGCTGCAACATTAAAATTTCCCCACTGTGGGACGAATAAAGAATTTCTTATCTTAACTAAACTAGCAAATGCTGAAAAGTACAGCGGGGATTACTTTTCTCTGGCCTTAGTTGTAGTAGTATTACAGGGAGGCCTAACATGAGGTAAAGTAAAACTAAGTCAATAACTTTGCCCTAAAATGCATACTTTGTTGCTGTCACCTCATATTGATATCATATATTTGACTTTCATCCTCATTCCAGATACCACCAGACCCAAAAAGCCGCACGAGAAAGAAGGAGTCGAGTACCACTTCGTCACCAAGCAACAGTTTGACGCCGACGTTATCAACGACAAGTGCGTTATGTGCTTTTTGAAATCTTCAGCTGTCATTCATAAATCTGTTTGTAGACTAAAATACAAACTGTTTTTAGGTTCATAGAGCACGGAGAGTATAAGGAGAACCAGTACGGCACAAGCATACAAGCCATTCGCTCCGTCCAGGCCAAGAACAAGATGTGTATCGTGGACGTCCAGCCGGAGGTACGTGGAGTTTGCTTTAGTCCATGACAAATATACATAAAACAAGAGAATATATATTTATGACAAGAGAATACATTTATAACAAGATAATATACTGTATATATATATATAACAAGAGAATCCTTCATGGGATGTAAGAGCCCTAATTATCTCTGTTAGCAGCTTTGTACTTTGCTTCTTTATTAAGCTAGAGATTGAGATTTTATTTTATTTTTTAAGTGTAGATTTGTGCTAAACTTCCCATGCACTTATCTGTGTTGACTTGTGGATCTCCTTCCTACTGTTCTGTAACTTGTGATGCAACACTGAAATTCCTCTTAATTTTAATCTTAATGTTACCCTACAGGCTCTGAGGCGACTGCGGACCGCCGAGTTCAAGCCCTACGTGATATTTGTGAAACCTCGCATCCCAGAGAGCAGACGGAGGCGCAGTGCTGCAACATCACCAGGAGGGGGCGATCACGGGCGCGTCACTGTGAGTTTCTCGGTTTTGTTTTCTGCAACAACAAAAAAAACTAAATCATAAATAAGAATTGTTATATTAGTAATAGAAATATGTGGTGCCAAGGCATTCAACAAAATAGAACCCAAGAGACTGTAGGTTCTTTACAGACTGCACAGACAATTGTTGACTGCCTTAATTTAAAAAAAGTTGTGTGTAACATATAAACAACCGACAATATCACTCTCTGTTGTTGATTTTAGGAGAGGACATAGTTAAAGGGACTGTATGTAATGTTTTCCTTCTTATTATCCTATCTTAAATATCCATCCGAGTTATTCTTAATTAAAAAGACAGTTGATTATCCAATCAGAGGGCAGAATAAGTCTCTCAATTGCGTGTCCAGTTTCTTTAGTGATAATTAGCTTGTCTTTTTTTTTATGACAAAATTCACACCAAAAAAATCACCACACATCTGTTGAAATGAAATCAGTTCCAAAAATAAGTTTGTGCTGTTTCTAGCTAAACTCCAGCAGGTGGTTTACATCAGTATTCAGTGCTTAGGAGCTACATCTGTAACAAACAGTACAAATCTGTAGACAAAAGTTGGATAGTAATTACATTTATTAGACCACTTAGATTACATCACACACAGCCCCTTTAATGTTTGTTGATTTGTTTAGTCGGAATTGACAGTAAAACATCCAATCAAATTGTGTTCTTTTTGGCTGTATTCTCTGTCAAAATAAAAGATCATTTAGTAAAACATGTAAGTATTTCCTTGCCAGATGTACTGTGCTGCATTATTGGCTGGGCGCTGTCCAAGGTGCTGAAGCGCTGCCTCTATTACCATGACGTCTGTTGCCATGACACTGATTATTGGGACTGCTCCGACCGCCTCAGTAACTACAGACCCGTCTTAATGAATGACAGCTGTTTCAAAAGTATGAGAACTGTGTCCTAATACTTACGGACCTAGTACATCTCATGCAGTAACAATACGCAGCGTCAATACTTACTTTATTCATCAACCTGTTTGAGTTGTAAGGCAAGGCAAGCTTATTTGTATAGCACAGATCATTCACAAGGCAACTCAAAGTGCTGAACAAAACAAGATAGAAAGAATCACACTAAATAAAGTTATTTTATTTTCATGTATTTTTATTTTTGTATTAACGGCTTATTAACAGAGCGCGAGGTCTGTATGGAAAAATATCAGACCGCGGCCTCAATGTACAGACCGAGCCGTGGCGAAGTCTGTACAAAAAGGCCAAGGTCTAATATTTCTCTGTACAGACCGAGCAAGCGAGGTTAATAAATGTTTTATTATATGACTCTCGTCTGTGTCTTTACCAATGCTTTTGAGATATTTGTGAAGTATGTTCATGTCCGACTTGGTTTTGTGTGATACGCGCTGCGGACAGATTGTCATGGTAACGGTCCGAGGAAAGATATCAAATGTGATACGCGCTGTTCGGACCAAATGTCATGGTAACGGTCCGAGATGGGAAAATATCAGACCGGTAATCAACCAATCAGAGCGCGCGTACGGTCCAAGTCATATAAAGTATTTTTATTTAATTTTACTTTGGATTATTTTGGTGCACAAGGGACACACAGGGAGAAGGGAAAAGGGGACAAAAAGAAATGTGTAAAATAAGAGAAACAACGTTGTGTACATGATGTGATGAACATATGTATGTGCGCAACAAAAACTGTTATCTATCTGACCTAAATTGGAAGGTAAGGTACAGCGTAAGTGTATAGGCCTAAAGTCCCATGAACCTGAGTGTGATCTGGCTTGAATACGGAAACTGGCTAGTCTATGTACTGTAAAAGTTTAAATCGCCAGCTAACGTGTTCCATGATTTGTTATTTAAAGTCTTAAAATAGATTATTTGGTAATTTATGACCATCTATGAGCATACGAACATTGGTCAACCCACTACTCTGGACAAACCGCTCTGTGGAGTTTCCTTTATTGCATTTTCTATGTTCTAATTGTTTAATTCTCTCATTTGTTCAAGCTGACTGCTGTTGTGAATTTGAGCCATACCACAATAAATTGAATTCAACAAAAAACAAACAAAAAGAATCACACAAGGAATTAAAATCAAGAATACTCCCAGTACATTTAAAAGAGTTTCAGAAAAATAGAGGAAGGACCAGAAATAAATTAGTGCAAAAATCCTATAATTTAAAACGTTTTCTTTTTGGATTCTTGTTTAACTGAATTTTAAATACAGGAGCAGCGGATAAACAAAATGAACTGAAAACAAGGGGGAAAGAGCACAGGATATTTAATAAAGGAGAATAAAATGAAACACATTAGGGCAGAGCAGACAATCACAAGAACAGGAAGTAAAACTCGAAAAGACACAGGAGAACAAATAATACATAATAAAGCAGGAATTTAAAAATAAACAACCATTACCAAGTAGTTTTTGCTTTCTGCTCCCAGGACGAGGACCTGCAGGAGATGCGTCAGTCGGCCGCACAGATGGAGCAGCAGTTCGGACACATGGTGGACCGGCTTCTGGTCAAAGAGGACTCGGCCAGTGCCTGCACGGAGCTGAAGGGCATCCTGGAGCGGCTGGAGCGGGTGGCCTTCTGGGTGCCCGTCGGCTGGGTGCGCCCGTGACCGAACCCCCCCCCCAGGACCTCCACCTGCAACCGGACTCCAACGGGACAGCCCCAAACAGGAACCAAAGGGAGACGATGATGTCACACACGTGGTCCTATGTCGGGCTGGGCGATATGGTGATGTCAGCGGATTGTGAGATGGTTTTGGTCGCGAGAGACGTGGACGTTCAAACGGACATTAATGCTAACATCACATTGAGTTGAAATGACTTAAGTTACTTCTTCTTCTTATAATTATTATTGTTCTATTATTTTATATGAATTTTTTAAATATTTTTAATGATAATTTTTTATTTATTTTCTTATTTGTTATTATTTTATATGATCATTTTCATAATAATAACAATTAATCTATTCCTCTGCATTATAATTGTTGCCTTGTTATGTTTTTGAATTATGGCATTTTGACCAATTGACCAAAAAAGAAAACATATCATTTTCACATTTTGATGTTTGTATTAAGAACAAATCTCAAATATTAAGTATTTAAATCATTTCAGCTCTCACAGATGTTAGCGTGGTCGGCCGAAACTTGGCTCAGGTTGTGAAAAATGAACTTTGGGGAAAAGGACTCGGTCGCCATCGCCAGCTCACGGTGATGGACTGATGATACGTTTACATGAATTATGATAAAAAGGGGATATTACATTTTTGCCATATCGCCCACTCCTCGTCCTACGCCCTCTTTCCTTTTCATGAATTCAGGTAATATATAAAGGGCCCATGGTATGCTTATGTTTTTGAACCAATTACAGAAGCATTTTCACTTCTATGTTGTGCTCCATATCAGAAGTTAGTTTGCACGCTCTTACTTTGAAAGGACACATTATGCAAAATCGACTTCGTTTGAGTTTTAAACACTATTCTCTTATCAGAAACATGAGTTATTAATTAGCTTGATTATGGAATCTAGGTCTTTTTCATCCTTTTTTAGCTCATACATCCACTCAATTCTTTATACAATACATACACTATTCAGTTTGAGAAATACGCTTCATACTGCGCCAGAATATTCCTTTTTTCCATATGTAGACCTTTTTCATGTAACAAAAATGTTATAGATTCTCCACCAAAAAACTTACATTTACATAATTTATATATGCATATTGGTCACTTTGTGTGTTTTTAAGTTTTTTATTTGGCTTTTTGCTGGTACCAGTTAGAAGTTGAAGACAGCCAAACATTCAGAACGTGCGCAAAAACAACAACAACTTTTGAATTCGTTTTAAAAAAGTTGAATTTGAAGACGGCTCACTTAGTTGATTTTGCATAATTTGGGACCTTTACCACCTCACTCGCCTCACTGTAGCTGTCAGCTGAAACCTGGACATTTGCAGCTTTATTTGGACTCTCGTAGGCCACCGTAGCATGAACTTTCTATGTGTTTTACTGAATGCTTCCCAAACCGCCATCACAGCAAGCAGCGAAACAAAAGATGCATCCGAATTCATGAAAAAACATATTCTTCCTTGTCTTTTCTTCCTTGGTGACATCAAATTAATACTGTGGCACTCAAACAAATCTTAACTTTCTTTCTGACCATACCGGGAGCTACGCCGTCTCAAAGATCTTTCCGTTCTTGTTTTGTTTTCTTTCTCTGCTTGAAGTGGATGAGGCAAAATGGCCGATTCAAGGTGGAGGAAAAGTGGAAGAGTAAAGGCCATCAGATCTAATAGCGTTCGCCTTTTCCTGGAAGAAGCTGATTAGGGCTAACTCGAACCACTGGCTCAAATTTGTAGCCAAACTCTCACATAGCAACAACCTAGCAACCACAGAGCCAATCAGAAACAGTGCAGGTCTGTACTCGCTAGCCGAACTTGGTCATATCTGGATTTACAAAAACAATAACAAAATAAAAACATAGCAGGAGTATGTGAAGCATTAAACCACGGATTGTTACCGCCAAAATTGTGAATGAGAAATGAGTAATTGCAGCGTAAGAAGAGTTTCAACAAAAGCGAACGAATGCACCACTTTCTTTTAGGCTCCACCAAACCAGTTAGCACCATGAATCTTTGTCCAAACTAAATTCTGTGTGCAAAATATGGCCAGCTGTGTCATTGTATGTGGCCCTTTGCCTTGGTAACACAAAGTAGCCATTGACATACTTCCACAGTGTCATCCAGCCAACTACAGCTCCACCGATGTAGTCATGCTGTAGCTCGCTGTAAAGCTTAGAACCTTTGGAATCCAACTTTATTTGTTTATACTGAAATTTGTTTTTGGATTATGTCACAAAATTCCTTATATGGCACTAAAGTAACTGTGGTGTGAATCAGTATGGACAAATCATACCCAATTGTAACGGCAAAAATACAGTCAAAACGTTATTTACTATCCGTGTTGTCGCCCCCTGGACAAGTCTAGAGAACTAAATAGTCCTCTTAATACATATCTGCAGTCTTTGCGACACGTTAATAATAAAAGGCCAATTTTAAAGTGTAAGGAAGGAGCTATTCTGAATGAATTCGGATGCAGCCAAAGCATCCGCACACAGAGAGCCGTAGCCGTGTGAACAACCCGACCTTCTGTGAATGCTGCTTGAATCCAACGTGGTTTCTTTATGATTTGAAAACCGGAATGTGATATTTTTTACGAGCATGACTTAGTGTAATCTTACATGTAAATACTGTAAATGTTTATCGTGTGCCAACGACGACACTCGTAGCACTTCAATGCAACCTGTTTACCTTGGATCCCAACGACTGGAATGACTTTTGTAGAGCTCCTTTTGGCGTATCTGTATTTGAATGTTTGTGAATGGAAGATGGCCGCTGCGACACGTCTGTCCTCACTGCAGAATGATTGATATGTTTTAATGTAAGTGTATGTTTGACGGTATTAAAACAAGATTTGGCAAATTAACCACTTTAATTACAACTAGCATAAGAAATTTCTCTCTTGAAATGGGAAAAAATTACTTGAAATAATAAAAAGCTGCTTGTTCCTTTGTCAGACGAATTGGTGCAAAGTGTCGCTGCGTTTTACTGTTGGGAGCAGCGTCTGCAGTCAGAGCTCTATCGGACCGTCGTGGTAGAGGGAAATGAGTCGAAAGGCAAAGCTCTCAATTGAAGTGGCTCGAGCATCTGTTTGGGATGTCTCCTGAACCGAGATCTGAGGAAGACCCAGGACACGTTGGGCGGACCATGTCTCTCAGCTGGCCTGGGAACGCCTTGGGGTCCCCCGGATGAGCTGGAGGAAGTGTGTGTGGATTGGGAAGACTTGAAATGCTGGCTTTGCGACGAGGCAACGGATAAAGTGGAAGACAATGGATAAATAAATGCTTGTACCTTTGTCAAATCTTATTATAATACAGAACAAACATATGCGTCAAGTAAATATGAGCTCAAGTCTTATATTTTTTGTGTCTTGAAATTTATAATTTCTTTGCCTCTAAAATCATGAGATTGCAAATATTGGATTAGATATCATGGAAACGCAGAACACAAACTATTTCTCCATTTATAATTGGCATTGAGTTATTTAAGATATGAATATAAATGGTTTAGAAGCATATGTCTGGCTGCAAAGTCCACATGTTTTTGCAGAAATGTGCGGGTTTAGAAATTGGACACGACTGTCGCTCAGACGCACACGAGAGCGAGCTGAATGAAGCAGATTGTGTGAATGGGACCGTTTGTATTTGTCATCTTTTTAAATGCTGTTTGATCTTTGAATGTTGAGTTTGTGACTTGTACAAAGTGCCATAATAAAGTTGATTCAATGGCTTAATGCAGTGTAAGGCTGGTGTCTGAGTCTATGGAGGTTCCTCTTGTCTTCTTGGTAGATAACATGGAAGTGTTGTGTTCTTCTACACTCAGAGGAAACATGTCCAGCTATCACAACTGTCTTTCATGGGAGAGCCAAATAGTTTGGAATAAACTCTCAACATCGGCTCGAATATTTCACCCAGCTTCTGCTCGGTACAATAATGGCTCAAATACAAATCCTCAGCAACAAAAATATAATCACTTCAATTATGACATTTCTACATCTCTTACAGACCTTTATTTTAACAGCCAAGTCCCACTGAGATTTCAGAATCTCTTTTTCAAGGAACCTGAAGAAACCTGTACGAACTCCACACAGAAAGGCCTTGTCTGGAGGACCCAGGACCTTCTTGTGAAGAAGCACAAACACCACAGAGCAGATGTTCTTTCAAAGGAAACAAAATTGACTTTTGTCTTCTTAGTGTTTGGTTAAAGATTAGCATTAGGTTAGTTGGGTTTTATAAATGGGTTTCCCTTCAGTACTTACTAATATTCAAAATATACTGTTCTGTGTAATCTTTCCTGGTTGATCATTTTAATTTCCGGGATTTGTATAATTCATAAAATGTAAAAATGTGGTTGATTGATAGAAGAGACATTGTGAAATTATCAGGATCCAACACACACAGAGTCTGGTGTCAGGAAACATCAATTACTTCACAAGTTGAAATACAACCAATTCTTAAAAAGCAGTTTCAGTTTTTTAGAGCAGAACATTTGTCCATCTGTGAAGCAGAAGGAAATAATCTCTGAGCCTGAAGCACGGGGAATATTTCACATGTAAAAGGTGAAACTGATTGAATAACAGTTGAAGGATTTCTGGAGGCGCATTTCACCATCTGTGATAAAACTCAAGCTTCAAAAAGAGAATGATTCTAAATACACATTGATTTCCAGGATTTATGAATTAATCAAAAGCTCAAGATGAATGTTTTACAATGGGCCTTGACCCAAACATCCTGAAAATATGTGGCCTGACCTCAGAAGAGCAGTGGATGTAGCACAGACAGATTTCAGAAGAAGTGAAGTGAAGCCGAGGGTTTGTGTGAACAGGGCGCAGCCGTCACCGTCTGTTTTTGTTATGGTTTTATGGAGGAAAGGGGAAAGAACATCCTCCTGTCTTCAAAATTGTAGCAGCCAAAGATACGGGCTTACCTGCAAGTGAACACCTGATCTTGTCAGAGCTCAGACGCTAAGCAGGACCGGGCTCAGAGTGTGCTGTGATGGG